TTCCAGACGCAATTCCGGTCGATTGGGAGCTCCAAATGGTGATTGGAGACCATGGCTGTGATCGTCTGGAGGAGGGCTACCGATCGGCAGTGGTCCGCGACCGTGGGTCCCACCGGAGGCGCCAGAAAATTGAAATTCGGCAGGCAGTGCAGGCGGAACTTTCTGCTGCAATTTCGGCCGATTGGAGGCTCCATATGGTGAACGGCGACCATGGTTGTGATCGTCTGGAAGAGGGCTATCGACCGGCAGTGGTGCGCCGGCGTGGGTATCACCGGAACAGTGATTTCTGGCAGAAATAGATTGCGGCAGATCCGGTGTTTGGCCCCTATTTTCATCAGATTCCGGCCAGTTTATTGCCGGTGGTTGGGTGTAGGTTGTAGAGGGTAGTGAGGGGGTTCTATTGGTGGCCAGATCCGGTGGTCTTGGCGGCCGGAATGTAGCCGGAATTTCCCGAGGTGAGAATCGTAGAGGCCGAAAATTGCAATTTTTCGACAAACTGCCCGTTTACGTTTGGTGCCGTAACAGGAGCGTCCGACCTCCGATTGCCATGATTTTTTGACCGAAGGTTCGCCATCTCATGAGGGTTGGTTTGGTTTAGGGTTTAGGGTTTGGTTTAGGGTTTAGGGTTTAGGTTTAGGGTTTAGGGTTTTGGGTTTTGGGTTTTTTTTTTTTTTTTAATAAAGACATCCACACATCCTTAATGACTTTTTAGGGTCCACCAAGGAAGGTCGATGGGGGTTAAGGGTTCCCCAACCATGTTTATTTCATAGAAATCAAAAGTACAGGGAAGGAGGGGGGCATAAACCTGACCTCCAAAAAGCAACAGTGCAACAAATGAAATATTAAAAACGAATAAAGTAAATGAGGAAGTACTACTTCCTTGTACAAGAAAAATGAAATAATGATTGCCTAAACTACAAACCTCTAAAGCTGGGCAATCCATATCTGTCGATTTGTACCAATGCCCTAATCTGTCGAGGCAGGTCAAGTGGTCCATATTCTTGGTAGCGCTGGTGATCCCAGCCTTCTGAAGCAAGAGAATCTGCAACCTGGTTACCCTCTCTGTAGATGTGAGAAACTGTGTCTCTATCGAAGCAAATGAAGTCTCTGATCTGTCTGAGAATACCCTGGATCGACCATGGTCCTCCACCTTTGGTGATGCAGTGAATAGC